ATTTACAGAGTTTCGATTAATAAAGCGTAATTTGCGCACAATTACTTGAAGAATATTATGTTATGACTTCAAAACAATATTAATATGCTGGGAGATTTGAAAACTGATGCTTTTGAATGCTAGCATCGCACATATCCAGCTTCATATCTATGGGTTTTCATAGACGGTAGGTTTGTTCGGTAGGTCACGGAGTACGGAGACGTACTTGAGAGGTGAGAAGCTCCGGTTCGAATCTTGTGTAACTACGGTTCGACAAAACAGTTCAAATCTGCATATAAGGAAGTTCAAATGGCACGGTTGCATCAACAAGTGCGTTTTTATATCAGTTTTGCATTTGTTAACACTATCGGGTACACTGTTAAAAAAATCCGTAAAATTTACGGTAAAAAAACGGCAGCTGAGGTTGCCAGAATTTTACCGTAAAAAAATATGGTAGCTACATTTGAGGTATTATGGTTTTAACTTAAATTTACATTAACTGATATAATGGTAATATTGAAATACTGAAATCTGTTTTGTATCTTTGTAATACACTGATAACCACCAAAAGCAGGTAGTGATGAGAGTCACATGATGAATCAAAGCCTATCACAAGCAGCTTTTAAATATTAACATATATAGAAGGTGCACAGTGTCATTCACACAAACACTAAACACCATCATGGTAACACACATGAAACTTAAATAAACATTAATTTAACAACAATAGATGTAACATAAAACCCTAATGTACAAAACTGAAAAGAAAAAACAAAGAAAAATAAGTTTTTTTTCACTTCCAAAAAACGGTATACCACCGTAAAATTACACGTAATGTCCAATACAGTTTTTCACCGTATATAGTAGGGGAATTTACCGTTAACCATTTAATAGGTTTTTACTGTAGCATTTTTTACAGTTTTTTACCATTAAATTCATGCTCATTTTTTACAGTGAAGGTTTAGGGTTGGGTTTGGTGTAGGGTATATTTCCAACATGATAGAGCATTAACTTTTAGCGACAGTCCCCAGATATTTGAATTCTAAACTGCCGCAATACGTACCTGAAGCAACGCAATAAAAACACAGCAATACGTACCTATATCAACGTAATAAAAACGTGAATGCCGGGCTTCATGAATTAAACCCGTGTTTTAGCGCCACTCAGTGAACATTTCTCTTTGAAACTGCGGTAAGGTACTGAGTAAGGTACGTAAAAACGGTGTTGCAGAAAAGTACCCAGAGGTACTTATTTTTATGAGACCAGGTTGGTTACTTTACTAGTTACTTGAAAAAAGTATATGATTACGTAACTCACATTACTTGTAATGCGTTACTCCCAAAACTGACAATAACAGATGAGAATTGACGTTCAAAAAAGTTTTAAAATAATGAAAATATTCAGACTTGCTATGCAATTGTATAGCTACCATCTACACTCTTAAAAATAAAGGTGCTTCAAAAGGTTCTTCACAGCGATGCCATAGACGAACCATTTTTGGTTCCACAAAGAACCATTCAGTCAAAGGTTCTTTAAAGAACCCTCTCTTTCTTACCTTTTTATTATCTGAAGAACCTTCTTTTGCCACAAAGAACCTTTTGTGAAACAGAAAGGTTCTTCAGATGTTAAAGGTTCTTTATGGAACCATTTAGACAAAAAGGTTCTTCTATGGCATCGTGAAGCACCTTTATTTTTAAGAGTGTAGCAAGTAAACTGTTAAAAACAGTCTCAAAAGTGAAGTTTTCTACAAGCCATACAGGAGACCTTACCTGTACAAACTTTCTGGCAGCCTATGAAACAAAACCCTCTGTAGGCAAACACATGGCTCCTCATTGAGAAGACATTATGAAGATGGATAGAGTCTTGAGGATGGTAATGAGATGCTGCGAGTTTCTTCCTGGCGCACGTATGAACCCAACCATCACAGACACAAAGCAGATTCTCCTGTCCAGCACGGGACAAAAGTCGTCTCTCTCTCTCTGACTTTCTCTCTCCCCCCTCACTCGTTCTGCCTTCCTGTTCTGTCAACCACTCCTAGCCTGACACAAGGCACTCATTCTTTCAGTCAAAGAACTCCTCACTTGTTCACTAACCTTGCAGAGACCCCTGCTGCAGAAATAAGTACATTTCAGGAAAGGCTAAAACTCACTTTTTCGCAGAAGGTGCACAAACGACACTGGCTTCCACAGTACTGTTCCTCTCTTTGAGGATTTCTTGGAAAGGTGCCAGAGTACTGGAGACCTGAGGTCAGTCCGGCTTTTGTCGCTGTTTGTATAGTCCCGTGTCAGTCCTGACTCTTACTGGCACCACACCAAAGAAACGCTGCTCTTGTAGGATCAGATGCTTCTCTCCAGTGAGACACACTAGTCATCCTCCAGCTGATGGGTGCTGTGTTTCTCACCGGTTAGCATTTGAGACTGAGCTTAACTCTTTTCCCTTCTCTGTTTTGATTCTCACCGTAATTAATCTCCTCGCTAACAGGAGGGGCACGTCGAGTGTTTTGGAGTGGTCTGCTGGCTCTAAGCCAGCCAAAAAGAGCTTGATGTTTCATGATTATGAGGAATGTTTTAGAAGAGGGTTGCTTTTCCTCTCACTTGTTAATTTGTCAATACGCCAAAAAAAAGGTTACTACACTTTTACTATGATAAAACCATGGTAAATGTTCATAAGGGTGGGTCCCTGGAGAATCAAGAAAGTCAAGAAAGCTTGTTTGCATATATAGCCTATGTTTGCACATTAAATTACACATCAGTATTCTATGAAAGAAGCTGTGAGGAGGATTAATTGAGCCTCTTCACAAAAGTATTCTTTTTTTTCTTAAAGTGTATCTTTTAAAACCATTTCCAAGTCTTTCAACAACCACAAAAGTAAGATTTAAAAAACACACTTGTGAATATGCGTTTGCCTGAGGAGATTAATATGGTAACAGTTCGTGTCAGTATCGGACAGACAAATGTATCTGATTAACTCGTTGTTTTTGTAGATCAAGGAAAATATTAAGGTCAAATATATTCATACCTGACAAATCATAAGGTTATTTTGCTTATGTCTGATATGAACAACAAGAAAAATGAACAATCAACTGTAACTCAGAAAAGTATCTTCGAGTGCTTATGGAGTACAATAATAAACATCTGTGTGACTCAGTTTGTGCAACTTTCCCCTGAGACTGCAGTTTGCTTTTAATTAGTCAAGACGAAAAGAAATAATATATTACAGCTGTCCCTGGATGATTGAACAATTCAGAATACACATTTTCACAATGGACATTCCGTGTCAGCATACAATACTGAATGATGTGGCAACAGTGCCCTCTAGTGACTGATCAACACTTCATTAAACACAGAATATCACAAAATGGACCAGGTTAGCAAACCCTCATCTCAAATCTTACAGTGTTGTCTTAAAGAATCTAGAAAGCAATGTAATTATATTGAACTTTAAAATAAAGCTGAGACCTTGCCAACTATTTACTCTTCCCCCTTTCCTAATATAACATGCAAGTGTGAAATAAACCTGTGGCAGAAGCACTCAACTCCTAGGTCAGCAAGATTGCTGTTTGTTCTGTTTCTTCCTAAGGAAATTCCTCATGCTCACTCAGAATGCATCTCATTTCCTCCTGTGTGTCTCACATGTTAAATGTCCAGCTCAAAGGCTTGTCACCATAGTGGGGGAAGCAGGGCAGCTGGAGGGTAAGTGACAGGTGTGGAAGAATTTAACTCTCGCTCTCACTTTTACTGCGGGAAAATGTCCCTGCCATGGCCTCGGTAAGAAGTCGATTTAGTCAGCACCTGAAGGCCCTAAAACCTAAACCAGTGTATGGCTTTCATGGTATGTCCAGCATGCAGAAAACACATAAATTGACTTCACTATTGTAGATAGATAGATAGATAGATAGATAGATATTAAATGATCATAATTATGAGATCAAGTCAACATTATGATATAATAAGCCATAAGTATGAGACTTTAAAAAAAATCATAATTATAACATTAAGGGCAATATTATGACTTTATACCATAATTGACTTTTTATGTCATCTATGTCATCATTTCTGATATTCATCTCATAATCATGATTTAGTATGTCATTATTTTTACTTTTGTCTCAAAATTATGACAGAATATCAATTTGTCAAATTGTGTTAATAATTTTGACTTTTTATGACAATTGTTTCTGTCGTACTTTCAGCTTATCTCATAATTATATGACTTAGTATTTCATAATGATTATTTATTTATTTATTTTTTATTATCTCTGTCTTACCAAAGCAGATGGTTAAAATTATTTGTATAAAATATATACAATAGTTGTGATTTGCAGGTTTTATTGGCCTGTTCCAGATATTTAAAGATGACACAAATTCAAGAACCCAAATATAGAAAACAGAAACCATGAATTCCAATTCACACATCACAGCATACACAAACCCAAAAAGCATCAAATCAGACAAAACTCCACGTCCAGTGGTTGACATCACTGTTAGGGTTTATGGTTCGGTTTAAGAAATAAAATGAAACTAACCTGAAATCGGACCTTCTTGAGCATCATATTAGAATCCAGGATGGTGGACGCTTTCCTGCTGTCTTGTTGGGATCCTGAACGTTCAGTACATGTCGTATTCCTCATTAACCAACCTGGACGAACGGCCTATTTCATCCTGACACACAGATCTGACCTCCAGCAAACTCTCAAATCATTAACTCCAAAAACTTAATCCTTCGTAAATAATTAAAATGTTTTTAATGAATCTCAGACTGATCCTAAATTCCCATGTGACCATGTAAGTTCCAAGCCCATGCTAGTCCCTCTGCCCCCTCTCACTCTTCCATGTGACCCTTTAACAAAGCCTGGCTCAGTACTTATCTGTTTGTTCATTCATCCGAAAGAAAGAACCGCCCTTTTTTATGACCGGGATAGTGGTCATTAACACCCCTCCTCTTTTTCCTCAAGCCCAAACAGGGATACAGCCCCTCTCCTGCTCTCAGGGGAACCATATGGTCACCTACCGATTTGTCTGGGACAGTGTGAGAACTGCGGTCTGTTTACATCAGAGCAACCTTTACTTCCACAATCACTGGCCACACATCACTCCCTCCAGACTTCACCTCATTATTCCTCCATTGCCAGAGATCAGATAGGAAATTAGGTCAGGACAGATACAGTCCCTATTCGTGCGGCCTACACCCTTCAGTCCCTTCATCAAACCCACAAATCAGATGTTAAATCTGCTTTCTCAGCCCCGCCCTAAAACTTTCCTCGTGGATTAGCGGCAACATCAAACATCGAGGCAGATTCAAGCAGATAGACCGTGTTTCACATACAGATCATCCCTGTAGATGTGGGTCACACACTTCACGGCCTTCAGCGGTGCTCAGTGAATATGACTTAGTAAAATATGCAGAAACACAAATTTATGACTCAATATGTAAACACTGTATCAAGTTTTAACCATTTAAAGACACAATGATAAGAGATAAAGTGCAGGTTAACCTTATCACTAGGGATTCACCAATATTACATTTAGTCATTTAGCAGACACTTTTATCCACATGAGGACAATAGAAGCAATCATAACCAACAAAAACCAATATTTAAAAAATTATGTTGTTGTAATGTTGTCCAATAACCAATATATAGGCAATATTAAAATTCTGTACTATTTTTTTCTAAATTTAAAAAACAACCTAAAATCAAACTAATGGTTTAATGCATCGCAGCCAGTGTTATTTTAGTATCATTTATATACTTAATATTATTCATATTATTGTCATTTGGATTAGATTTTATTTTTAGTTTTCATTTATGTTTTAGCAATTGTATGTGTTTGTCATTTTTATTTTTTCTATTTAGCTTTTGTTGATTTTAATTTCAGTTTTAGTTTTAGTAATTTTAGTACTTCAATTTAAACATTTCAGTCAATTGCAAGGCAACATTTATAATTTTCTTTCAAGTATTTCATCCAATATTTATATGTGACCCTGGACCACAAAACCAGTCATAAGGGTCCATTTTTTTAAATTGAGATTTATACATCATTTAAAAGCTGAATAAATAAGCTTTCCATTGATGTATTGTTAGGATAGGACAATATTTGGCCGAGATACAACTATTTAAAAAATCTGGAATCTGAGGGTGCAAAAAAAATCTAAATATTGAGAAAAACGCCTTTAAAGTTGTCCAAATGAAGTTCTTAGCCATGCATATTACTAATCAAAAATTAAGTTTTTATATATTTATGGAAGGAAATTTACAAAATATCTTCATGGAACATTATCTTAATAACCTAATGATTTTGGCATAAAAGAAAAATCAGTAATTTTGACCCATACAATGTATTGTTGGCTATTGCTACAAATATACCCATGCAACTTTTATGGTCCAGGGTCACATATCTTATTCCAGCTAAATTTCGATTACTGAAAATGTATTTTAATAGTTTTAGTTCACAATAACAACACTGATCGCAGCATTGAAAGATAAAAAGGAGAAATTTAAAGATTAACTCAGAAATTATATTAAATTATGGCAAATGTAAGCAAAATAGAAAAATTGAGGAAATTAACATGACAAATTAAATATGCAGTATTGACCATTAAAAAAACCTCTAACCTTAGCACATAACCAATATGGTACCAATATATCATGCATCCCTAATTATTACAATTATTATTTGCATCATCTAAAAAGACAAAGACTGCACATTATCCCATTATCATTGTGGAAGTGATTCATTGGCAAGAATCTCCTCCACTCAACCATACTTAATGCATTAACTCTAAATACCATTGCCTCATCTCTGAGATTCCTCACATTCCTGTATGAATCCAGAACAATCTCCCAGTCCACTAGGCCATGACCCAAACCAGGCATAAGCATTGAATTTATCATTACAAAAAATACTCACCATTCTTACAGCAAAACAATGACTACAATCAGCCACTTAAACACAGCACTACTCAAAAAGCCACACGATTTGAGGCACTGATTTATGATTTGATGGCACGACTTATGCTGATGTCTTTAATGCATTGGGTTAAGGATTTAAAATAACCCCCTAACGCTAGCCTGCATCACTAATACACATATCACACAGCTACAATACTCAAAATCCTAGGCAAAACCACATATTAAGGCAGGAAGAGCCCGGAAAATACACTTTAATTAAATCTGACTTTATTATTGATTAAAGGTATTCATAAGTATCTTACAGCAGAATGGAATGTCGTAACCCTCCCCTTGGCTTTCCATAATCACCTTTGAGTGTGCGCTGATAAATGTATTTGTTAACATTATGGAAATAAAAAAAAAAATTTTAAAATCCATTCTTAATATCATCTGGGAAGCCAGAGAGAATATATTTTCCTGTTTAGCCAAATAAATGCAGCAATGAATAAAAAGAAAGAAAAAACAACAACATTTAAACAGATTATGTGTAATATTACTTACAAAACAACAGAGAATGAAAAATCCTCCTGTTTAGATTATTATGCAAACAAATGATTACATAAATATAACTGCACCAAAAGGGGGGGGAAACTAAAAGGCAAATAGCATTTGTGCTTTTTTTTTTATGTAGACAATGATATTCATATTCACTAACAGCAGAGGTGTAATTTTAAAGAGATGAAAAATGATGAGTCTGAATTTGGACTGCACATTTAATGCAGTGTCAGTTCTTATTGCACAAGCACAGCTGATTTATTCATCACCCACACATTCATTTGGTACTACAATATTAGGTCTGTTTCCATATTAGAAACCAGCATTTATTCTTTGATGATTAGAAATAAAACCAAATTGCTAATGAGCCGAAGCGGATCACGTGGTTTGAAAAAAGGTCAATTAGGTTGCAACTCCAAACAAAATCCTTGCAACAATTATTAAGTTTTCAATTTGAATCTATCTCTTTGAAGGGTCAGGAGGGTTCATACAGGCTTATAACGCGTCTGCTGTAGGATGACACTGATCTTCCCTTGATGTCTACAGGTGCAGTGCTTTATTTTACTCTTTTGTCTTTTCTGGCAGGTGTTGCCGACTGCACTTAGTACTTGAGCAGCTGAAGGTCCAGTTTATATAAAGGTAGATTATTTTCCTTTAAGACAAACAGAAACACAGAAGCATTGCAGCCCATGTCAGAGAATGTTTTGAGTGCTCTGTTGATGTACAGCGCACTCTCTGATCCGTTAAGCTGGCTGGCAGGTTAAAACGATCTTCCACCAGGAAACATTTACAGGATCTCATACTTATCCACAACAAATGACGTCTCAGAGGAGAATTTGACTGGACTGCCTCCTTCTATGTATGTCACCTTGGCCATCTGTGGAAACAATGGATATAAAGTCATTTCCTTTCTCACTAGGGCTCAATTTTGTTGTTTTATTTGTGAAATTGTTCATAACATGCCTGAATGTCACAAAAGTTTCGCTTGGAGACAAAAGAAACATGGATTGGGAAGAAGTCATTGGGTTTGCCATCTATACTGAACTCCAGGCTGCCACTCTTGTTTTTCTCATCAATGACAGGAAGTGACCATTCCAGGATGTTTTTCCTGCTGTCATGGTTATACTGCCCATCCAGATCACCGACCACAGGCGCACCAACACCTGACCTACATGATCACAGAAGATAGAGGTTGTTTATGGATATGGATTTTGAGGTTTATGAGTATTTTGCTAATTGAAAATTATACTTTAAAAAAAATTATTATACATACAGTTCAAATAAATGCAAAAAAAAAAAAAAATACAAATATAAATATAAAATATATATTTATTTTATTTTTTTAACTTTTATTGTAATTTTTTTGTATTTATTTAAATTGTTTGTATAATAATGTTTAAAATGTATTATATATATACAGTATATTAGGGATGCACGATATTGGATTTTTGCCGATATCCGATATGCCGATATTTTTCAACTCTTTTTGGCCAATAGCCGATGCCGATATATTTACTTTTGTATGAAAACAACACCAAGTCTCTCCTGTGTGGAAATTATAAGCAAATAATTTTTAATTTTGGTTAATTTTTAACAAGAACTTATTTGTTAGAATTAAATAAACAATAATGAAGTTATTTTATAATGACTTTGCTTTATAATGCAATGCTTTGAAAATAACTATAAATAAACTATATATCAATCGCTGCATTTTTTTTCCAGAAAGATGCAGTAGTAACCTTAACATTTTATTTTAAGATTTAACATTTGTAGATGGTCTAAAGCAAAAGAGTATATTTTAAGAAATTATTTTAGAGCTCATAATTTGTTTAAAAAATATAACATATTACACATTAATGAATAAATCAGTATAGGCTATATAAAATTATTTAATTTACAAGTGTCATGTTTTTTTTTTATTCGTGTAAGCTATAGCTTCTGACCTTTAAATCAAAACATACTCATGATTTTATGACATCATTTACTGCTTTATTTGATAAGAAACAGTCTAAATGTTATTTGTGTATTTTACTTTGATTTTATTAAAAGTAGGCCAACAGTGCCCCCTACGGAATTAAAACTCCTTACTGAACGAGCATTAGGACCCAGGGGAGGCTGCCGCTGCTGCCATTGCACGTGCTATTACTGTTTACTCTATCACACACCAAATGCATCATTTTGTACATGCATTCTCAGTTTAAATGCAGCGATCCAAAACAGTGAATCTAATCATCATTCAGGCAAAACTCTGCTTCAAAAATGAGTCACACTGCTAACCTGATCTAATCGCTAGCACACCCTGAGCACATGTGAGTTAAAGTATTC